TTTTTTTTTTTTTTGAAGGACTCCATCGATTTTATTTAGAATTGGCCTGCCAGAGCATGGAAACGAGGAAACGAGGAAATCGCTTGGGTGTTGTTCATTGTAATGAAGCGTCTTCAACAAAAAAACCACCCATTTATCCACAAGCTTGCAAGGAGTTCTCGCTTTAGCCCAAGTATTACGAATTTTTTCATTTTCTCGCTTTCGCTTGAACTAAGAAATGTCACAATTTTTTTTTTCTTAATGGCCTGAGGAATGGTCGCCTTTTACATACCCTACGGTATAGTTTGCTGGCGTTGGTTTTATCAAATGGACCCCTCTCTAGAGCCGTTATCCACCTGACGAATAGCCGAGTAGAGAAGAACCGCGGCTATCAAGTTTGTGCTCACGGGTACAGTCTACCTTAGTCGCAGCTACAGTGAGTTCTCAGTCGATAAGAGCAACACGCTTGCACACACATCCACTAGCCTGCAGCCACCATCTGGCTAACTCTTTTTTTTCTCCCTCTTCTTTCCGACCGTCATCGTGTTACTCAAATAGGAGATCTCCCCCAAGTTGTTGGTTACATTAAAAGACTATTTATTGGGAGAAACGCCACGAATTTTCTTCTTGATCCCAATATATTATCGCATCATATTACATATTAATAGAAAAGTCTGTTCAAGTTGGTTTTATGAGCTACTTATCCCAATCTGTCCAAGTGGAAAAGCTTAATAATAAAATCGATAGTCGAATTAACTTACTTCTGTGCGTTTAGCACATTTTACACACAGCACATGACCCTATGGGTCTTAAATTCAACTGAACTGTGTCTTACTGAAGTATATTCCATTATTCCAAAGAATCTAATCAGATTTATTAAGTCTTAAGTTGAAGAAAGTGAAGAATAACATAAGGAGATTTTAGGGATAGCAATACATATTACAAAGCCCTCAAGACTATTATCGATTATATTATTCCTTCTACGTTATTGCTCGAGATGTAGTTATCTATTATAAACATTTACCTAAATTTAATATTTTGCAGGGTTTGGTATCGGAATATAACCCTGCCGTTGATTTCGTTGGTGTGGCGGAAAAATTTACTTTTAAAAATTTGATCACAGTTGTATTAAAAACGGTTGTGGCCTTTTTTATCCCATTCTTTTCTCTATGATTTTTATGTAGAGAATAAAAAAATAATTGTAAATTATAAAAGTTATATACAAAAAAAAAAAATTTTTTTTTTCTTTTCAATTTAATTCAAAAACATTTGAAACTAAAAAAAAGAAAAAAAAATCAAAGCACTATGATAATATTTTTTTTTTTTTTTTAAATTAACACACGAACCACTTTAACACAATTTTATTAATGTTTTCCAAAACTGCTTAAAATATTAACCAACGTTCGCAGGCATGATTGAAAATTGTTGAAGAATTCCCAAATTTTTTTTGTTTTTTTTTTTTTTCGTTGTATGTGTCCCGAAAACTGCCAAACACCAGCATTTGAAGACTAATTTTCACAGAAAAACTTTGCTATAAATAAAAGTTGGGAAAAAAAAACATGGTTTACTAACAAAAAAAAAACATTTTTTTTCTTTGTTTTTTTTTTTTTTTTTTTTATTCTTTTAAATAAATTTAGATGCTACGCTAACCGATTTGCCACCCGGTGTTCTATATCGTGTTAAAGCCACTTATGGTTATGTTAAAGAAGATGTCGATGAATTAAGTTTCGAAGTGGGCGATATCATTCGAGTTATTGAATACGATGACCCCGAAGATCAGGTAATAAAATTTCACTTCAAAAATTTTATAAATTCTCAACTTGAAATAATCCGACTTTCTGTGTGACTGTGATAATAATCAAAATTTATGTCGAGAAAGTATCGGGCAGCAGGATATGATGAAAGATGATAAAACCATTATTGGTACTAGGTGTACAAATACTTCTATCCGTTTTTTTGATAAAATTCATCTTTATTTAAAATGTACCTTGTTAGAAAGCTTAAGAGTTGAAATGTGCATCACCTTCATTAGTGGCCTTTTGCCATTTATCGGATAGCCTATCGATGCCCTTGCCGGATTTGGAGGCGAGAAATAGCCATCGATCTATTTTCGCACAAATTGAACTTCTGCAAGCCGTCGATCTGCTAAATATGACATTCAACTTCTGCGAACTGCCGATATGTAAATATAAGTATTACTGCATCGATCTAAATAAGCGGTAATCGCAAGGCGCCATATCTGGAGAATATACGATGGGCAGTAAAACTTCCCATCCTTAACTGAAAATTATCTCCTTAATTACTTTTGCTGGAGACGGAGGGACGTGTGCGTGTTTTCGCCATTTTTAAGGCAACAATTTTTAACTCCATTTTAACTCCAAGCTAACTGAATCATTTCCATAGAAACATCGTACATCGTTCTTATCTATTATCTGATATGTCGTACATTTTGCGAAGCAACCAATTTCAACGGAACGAATTCATTTGTACATCTAAGACATTTGCAGGCTAATACGGTATCAACAAGTATACTACAACATGTATAAGCAAATTTATATATAAAACGGATCGAAACATGCAATAAAGAATTTAGCTTGAATAGAGTTTTCTTTTAAGGAATCGTTGCATTTTCAGCAACAGCGATCGATCGATTGCCGTTACTTTTTTGGCAGGTGCTTCCTTCACTTAGTTAATCTATTGTATATGTGTTAGGTAATAGAATAGGATGTCATAGATTATATATATAAAACTAAATAGAATTATAGAGCTTTCTTTGTGAAATCATTACGATGATCTACCACAATTCCCGATGCTTTTTTGACAGGTACTTCTTTGCTTAGTTAATCTATTGTATATATAAAAACAGAATGAAGCTGTAGACTTTGATTTATGAAATCATTGCATTAACAATTCCGATTACTTTTTTGACAGACGCTTCCTTTGCTTAGTTAACTTATTATTATGTTATATTATATGTGATATGTTTGTTGTACGAAGTTTTTGTGCCGTTTTATTTGTTAAATGTAGTTTTTTAATTCTAATTTACAGGAAGAAGGCTGGCTTATGGGTCAAAAGGAGGGTACCGAGGAGAAAGGTCTCTTCCCTGCCAATTTCACCAGGCCAATATAAAAATCAAATTGCACAGTTTTTCATAAAATAAATAATAATCTTATCCCCCAACTAAAATGTAATCAGACGAAGAAAAAAGTTTAATATAATATTTTTGATATTTAGAGCAAAAACAAAAAAAAGAAGAAGAAGAAGATGTAAACTTATAAAAAAATTTTTTTCGTTGAAAAAAAAAAACTTGACCAAAATATTGTTAGCGTTTTAGAGGACCATGTTGGAAAACAAAAAGAACAATTTTTTTTTTTTTGTTTAAAGTTCAAAAACTTTTTTTTTTTTTTGTATAATGTCTTTATTTGAAAATGTGTAAAAATCTATATTTACTTATTTTTTAAATGCTAAAATGATTGTTAAAAAAAATAAATCAAATTTTTAGAAATGTTATTCGTACAAGTTAATATTTATGTTAATTAAAAAAAAAAAAAAAAAAAAAAAAATTTTTTTATAAAAATGAAATAAAATTAAAAAATTATAAATTCATTTTATTTCAAATTTAAAATTGATTTTTTGTTTGTGTTTTCTTTTTTTTTTATTCGTTAACGGACAGCACTTTTGAAATTTTATATAACCTTTTAAACTATTTTTTAAACAAAAAAATATTTTCTTTGTTTATATTAATGTTTTTTAACAAAAAATCAAATTTATTTATTTATTTTTTTTTTATAAAGATTCGATGAACTTATCTCAAAAATTTGTTTTTCCTTATTTTTAAATACAGAAAATATTTAAGGAAAATTTATATATCCTGCGCCACTAGGAGTTGATGTTCCTTTGATCCATTGTTAATCAGTTAACTGAATACGACGAATGTATACGTCATGAAGAAGAAAAACCAAAAATTTTGTATTATGACGAATATATATGTCATGATCCGTCCATTCGCTCTTTTCGGATTTCCTCACAAAAATTTCATCTTATTTTGGAATGTGTGCATGTCATTTAGTCAAGTAGTCAAGTCTTTGTAAGAGGAGTTTACTCATCCTTGCTAGATTTTTGCAAACCAATTTAAATACACATTTTCCAAGGAGAGTTAGTAGCGCAATTATTGGGTTAAATGATATAAAAAAGGCGGAAAAAATACAATGCCATCGTTATCCATTTCGCATGACTCACGACCAAAAATTATTAATATACATAAAATTGATTGTAAACTTTTACTAGGTGTTTGCAAAAATTGTTATCGACGACTTCTTCAACTAAAAATGATAAAGAAATGGGAAATACCAATGTACACAATGGTTTAATTCGATGATTCTGATCTTCCTCTACATAAAATAACAGTCTTCCATTTAATATTAATGACTTATTCAGCGTACGACGACTCTAATCACGGAGCGTTCAAAATTGTTCTTCTTCCACATTGATTACATTTGTTGTTCATTTGAAGCAATATGCTGCCGAAGCCCATCA